ATGAATACTTAATGCCCATGGAATCATGTTGTGCAGATTCTTGGAAACATTCCCTTTTAGTCTCATTAATGAAAAAGTCAAGTAGAATAACAAGGACTTTTACAACAGGAATTCTTAATTCTACAGAATGTATTTAGGATATAAACTCATGATGCCAGGGGAATCTAAGCATGTCCTGGATGTCATTTATATGAGACATTCTGTGCTCAGAAAGAGATACTGTAGTACAAACACAGTGCTACATTGGTAATGTATCCCTTGCATGAACGTCCCGGCTTTCATTTTCAAAATAGATTGTTTGGAAAAGAATGGGGGGGTCTGCTGATGCACATTTTGAAATAAAGAAATGTGATCTGTATATGTGGCCACCCTTCACAGTAAGCAATGTCATGTGCATATTTTTGTATAAATGTGCTTACTTCTGAGTTCTGCCTGGTTATGGTAATGGACTTGATGAAAGCTAACAAGCTGAAGCTCAATCCAGACCAGACTGAGATTCTGTTAGTAGGCAGACATTCTTCTAACCAGAAAGAAGGTGCTCCAACTGTTCTGGAGGAACTGGCGTTATACATCCCCTTGAAGGAGCAAGTCTATAGCTTGAGGGGCTCCTCCTTGAGACATCTTAGTCACTTGAGGTTTAGGTGGCCTCCGTGACAGGCAGTGCCTTCTACCAGCTTCAGCTAGGTGTCCAAAGATGCCCCCTCTTCCTATCAGGACAGGAAGAGCTTGGTTTCTATGCTGTAATAAGCTCCAAGTTAGATTACTGCAAGGCATTCTATGTGGGACTTCCCCTGTGGGACTTCCCCTGAAGATAGTTCAGAGTCTGCAGCTTCTAAAATAAAACAGGCGGTCACGCCAGAAGGTCAGATCATACGACCCCAATTCTGCCCTGTCTGCCTGTATGCTTCCAAGTGCAATTCAAGAATTACAAATATGGCTAGGGACTGCAGTACCCATCGGAGTGCCTCTCCTGATCCCAGTATCTTAGTCTAATCTCAGCTTTCTCCACTCCACCTTGGATAATCCTGCTAGGAGACCCGCCTGGTCAGAGTCTGGCCTCCTGGCAGCACTGCTCCTGGGTTCTCAGACCCTCTCAGACCCTCTCACCATGTGAAGGAGTGCACTGGGGGAGGGGCATGTCGATACTTGCATGTGTTCTCCCATGGACCTAAGAGCAGTTTTGAAGGACAAAGAGAAACAGCAGGCAGGTTACACCCTGCTCCTCAGAGGCACTCTGTACCTCATAATTAGCAACTACTAGTTATCAAAGTAAAATAGCTTAAAGGATATCCGGAACACAGACTTCCCATGTCATATATAAGTTGTTGCTTAGTATTAAGCTATGAATACAGAATATGGCATTGCTTGACTATGATAAATTATGATAGCATCTTCTTATAGTGTGAGTTCCTTGTTTAGCAATGAATTCATAAGTGCCACATACCTGCTCAGCAGTAACAGGAATTAAAATGGTCTGTAAGAGAAATCTCATTGTACTCAAATGTGAAGCCACTGATTTTATGCTGATGTCACAATATGGCAGAGGTTGGCTGTTGCTGTGCTCTTAATTCTGCCTCATTGTGAAGGAGCAGGTGGGAGAGGGTTCCCGCTTGGATCCCGCTGCCAGCAGGCATGGCTAAATGAGCCAGGGACTCTCCACCAGTAGCCCATGTAGCATGATGTTGGAAATGGGAACACTGGCCCCATTTAGCCTGGGAGATCCTTCCCTCTCTCTGATGCCAACAACTCAGAAAGGAGTGTGGCACAAAACAGCCACAACTGAAACATATTGTGCATCTTGTGCCTTTCAAAGAACTGTTAGAGTATTGATACCCTCAGACACACAAATGTTTCCTGGAGGAACACCTGGGAAACTGTGGTTAGGCTGTGGCCCATTGCTTCATAAAACACCACAAAATGAAATGCTGCCGTTCCCCCAGAGGGCTTCTTTGGAAGGAAAGCGCTCTGCAAAGCACTGTAAAGGTCTGTAAAGGCTTGAGAGCAAGCACAAAGGGGTGGGGGACTCCCTTCATAGTCAGGGTGGATGGACTGAAGTTTTAGACCTCTTTCGGGAGGCTCCTACTTCTTGAACACGAAAAGATGTACTTACTGTGAATTCTTATTTTATTCAGTACTGGGAGAGCAGTCATTCTCTTCCATGATCAGCACTGAAGGCAGGTTCACCACTTCTCTCCATCCCCTTGTAGGCAAAACAGAGCCAGTATGTTGTTGTGGTTAAGAGAGCAGGAGTGGAACTCAGGCAATCCGGGTTCTTGTCCCCGTTCCCCCATGGCACTAATGGGGTAGCTTTGGGTCAGTCACAGACTCTCAGCCCAACCCACCTCACAGGGTTGTTGTTGTGGGGGTAAGATTGAGCACAGGAGGAGGAGAATGATGTAAGCTGCTCTGAGTTCTTTGAAAGACAAAAGGTGGGATATAAATCTAATAAATATATGAATAACAATCTGAGAATGATCTTCTAATTGTACTCAGGATTGTTTACCTTATGCTGCCTCTCTGACACTGCTACAGTTTTTGCCTTTGGTGATGAGACCTTTATTAATGTTTTGTCCACAGAGGACCAGCTAATGAAGTATCTCCTAGCCCTCCCTTTTGCACACCAACTTTTACCCTTGTTTTTCATGCTTGTTCTCTTAACACAGAATGGCAAAGCCATGTTTCTTATTTTTTTCTGCCTGTTTGAAACCCCACTCCTTCCCAGCCAATAATTCTACCAAACAACATAAAAGAATGTTTTTAAGGAAACGCCTCATAAATGTTTAGAGAACAAAGTAATCCCACAACTTCCAGTATGCTTGGTGTTATAGGAATTTTTCTGTCTAAGCTTGCATGGGATTGCATCCTAAGTGTTGGAATGCTCAAGAAATGGTTGTGTGCAACAGTTAATATTTAGGCTTGCTTGGCTTGCTTGCCAGAGTCAATCAAGATCTTATCTGCAGCAGACAACCATAGTTAAATGCAGCAGCCCTGGCTCAGGGTAAGCCCTATTCCTGCAGCAGAGCAACAAGAAGGCATAAACAATTCTTGACAGTTATCCTTTTCTGCTAAATTACTTGCTGTAGGAGTTCATATTTTCACACAAACACATGAGCAAATAGCTGAACGGAAAAGGAACTGTGCTGATTCTGAGGTCGGATGGTGTGGCAAGATGTTGTCCATTTCCTTTTCCCAAGTAGCCCTGGAGCTTTAATTAGGCTTAAACATCTTTATAACAATTATCTGAAAGTTTGTTCTGTGCCAGGATGCCAGGCCATACTATTACTAGCACTATCTTTGCACGTTTGAGAAGAATAGCAAGCGGGAACAAAAGCTAGTGCTGCTCACAATAGATGAAAATGTCCTCTGTGTGATGAACAACTTGCGCACCCAGTTTGTTTGCTGAAAGGTTGAACCTGGCATTTACAATTTAATTCTGAACTAAATTTATTAGGCAGGTCAGAAATTCAGTATTTTTATGGCATACTTTCTGGTAAATCTCTATCCATCATTAATGCACTATTAAGCACCATTTTACAATCTAGAGTTCAACTGTATTAACCCTGTGTAAAACTGAATTAGGCATCCATTTAATTTTTGTGAATAACATACCATAGTATTAAAACATAATGGAGACAAGCGTTGGAAAAATAGTCTTGGCACTTATAAGAAAAGTCCAGAACTTTTATCCTCACGGTGCTGCAAAGCAATTAATCCTGAAGTAAGACTAACATTTCACCAACAAATGAAAACTGAAAAATCTGATTCATTAAGCCTCACAATCCCTTCATAATATCTGGTGCACATCATAACCCCTATTTCATGGTGATCCTCCCCACCTCCGAGGCTGGCTGAGAGCTGACAACTTTTCATCGGTGTAATTGAACTATAATGATGCAGTGTACCACAAGGCCATCTATGCCAAATCATTTCCAAGAAGCACAACCACATTTCCTAGACACTTCCCACATCGTAACCCAGGCAACAGAGATCACAATACAATGGGGGTGACTATGTGTCCAACCTGTTTTCTCCTGCCGCTGTATATTAAGGGTTTCCCATGATGAGGATGAAGATGAGGATGAGGATGATTTACTGCATAATTAACTGTTTCATTCTGAAGAAAGCACATGCTCTGTCTTTATGAGGACAAGGTCTGACCCTTGGCAACTCCATTTAAATGAGATGGTACAAATGCATCCAGTTCACTAGGAGATCCTTGTTGACTTTGCCCCTTCGTGTCACCCAAAACATACCATCAAATTGTAGTGGTGAGGGGAGAGTGGGAGACAGAAAGGGGAACGCTGTGCCCCAGCCTTCATTCAGTGTGGCCTATACCTTATGGAGGAGAACTTCAAAGTGCATCAATTCTTTGAAAGTGTGATTTTATACCAGGCCCCACCAGAGGAGCCGAGCGCAGCCTCCCTCCCCACATGCCCCTCGCAAGGCATATTTGGAGAAAAGAGGAAGAGGAAGGCTAGGGATAATGGAGAGTTGTACAAAAGCTTTTGGTTACCTGGAAAACCTTGAAAAGACTAGATCCATTTTGGACTGAGATAGTCACTGGCATGTTCTTCAGAAAGAAGAGTGACAACTAGTTACAGTGGCCACTTCACACATTACTCAGTTTCTACACAGAAACTGCTTCCTATCTGTGGCAAATTGCTGCTCGTGTCTCTGGTTGTGATCTTTACACACACTGCAATCTGTACATGTGTGACACTTTATTTGCCAAATAGAAATGACATGCATGCAATGTTTTAAGCTGTACCCATTGTTTTATATCTTCATCTATTTGAACCCCTGTTGTAAAATGTATAGGAATCTGGTGACATACAGCACAGCCTCTGTTGACTTCACCATCTGATTCTGAGAGTAAACTTTGCTCTTTAGCAGGAACTGCTAACTTTTAAACCTAAGTGCAACCTTTTCTGTCAAAGCTGAAAAGAATGACATCAGGGGAAAACAGACAGAGAAGCAAAACAAAAGAAAAACCTTGATACCTCTTTCGGTTCCCAGTGTGTACTTTGGTGTTTGCTTTGGATAATGGGGCACTGGAGAGCAGTCCGTTTGCCGCCTTTAATGGGAACATGTTTTGATTGTTCCTGTTCGCTGCTCAGAGAGGAATCAGCAGTATCCCCCACTTCATCTGTTTGGCTCTCTTCATCAGAAACACAACCACCTTCTTTCAGCTGAAGCCCCTGGATCAACAGCTGACAGGCCTCTAAGTCAACTTCCCACACTCTTTCAAGAAGCTGGCTCCCACTGCTGAAATAGAAGCCAAGATAAGAGCTCTGTTCAGAGAGAAGGGTTCATAACTGATGTTACGGTCCACTCTTGTTTTGTTTCCGAACAAGACGCAGAGATAGTTCTTATAAAGGTTATACCAGAGCCCCTCTCCCACCCCTCCACCAGTCCAATGGTAACTGCAACCTGACTTATACTAAAATGGCTTGCCAATGGAGACATCCAACTGGTAATGTCTCCATTAGAAAAAACATGAGATTAGGATGTTATTGTCTCCTGCTTACTAGGTTATGGAAAATTTAGCTTGTCCTTCAAATTCTACAGCAATTTCAAAAACGCTATGCCTCATTCATTTATAGTAGGCAATTAGTTGCACACTAGTCCAAAATGGCCCAACATCATTTCATCCTGCCCACACAGTGGCAATGAGTCAAGACTTTATGGGACTTTGATGTGCACAAAGAGCTTCACAAAAGCAAGCTGCCACTCCCACTTCAATGTAGACTGTTGCATGCAAGCATTACTTTTGTCCGTTCCTGCTTGTATGGGGCCAGATATGCACATTGAAGCTCTTTTGTGCACACTGCTCTGGCTGGATCAGGTATGAACCCCCAGTTCTGCGCAGTTCCATCTTGCACCCACAGGAACAGACTGCATCCAGGCTGCACAGAGCAAGCGAGCAGAAGGATTCAGTCATCCTGATTTCAAAGGAATTAGGAAAGTTTAAGAGTGCATGGGACTGCAGCCAGAACTTTATTTCTAGTATAACTTAATTTGAACCGCAATGAACAGAAACTGCTTCAGAAAGTGGAACATAATTATATGACTGCACTTGTTAAAACATCTTATTCTTTGGTGATATACTTTTTCCAGTGCTGATCAACTCCTACTTATAAATCCTTTTCTGAAGTGAGGCATATATAAAACACACACAACAAAAATCATGCAGCATCATTTTGCACGCATGCATGCACATTTGTGTGTGTGTGAGAGAGAAAATGCCCATAATTTAGCTAAGAACCACTGCATTACTACTGCTATTTTATATGGCTCGTCATTAAAGTTGACACATGGGATGCTACACAGAAATGAAAACATTCTGCAGGCATATTCATAGCATATAACCCAGTTCAATAGTCTTAACATTTTGAAATTACAACCCCCCCAACATGGTTTCTGTCCCAGTTTTATAATAAAAGTGTACACAGAATGTTCAACTGCATGCTATATGTTAGATTCCTTACCTTACTCATACATAGGTGGGAACAGAAAAGAACTTTCTCACATTAAACTATACAGCGACACTGGTGAACTTTGACACATGCTTAAATGTATGGAATCATAGAATAGTGGGGTTGGAAGGGGCCAAGAAGGCCATCAAGTCTAACCACCTGCTGGTGCAGGACACCTGTTTACACCATCCCACTCAGATGGCTGTCCAGCTTCTTTTTAAATGTCTCTAGTGTGGGAAAGCCATATGGCAGTTGGTTCCACTGCCATATGACTCTGACAGTAAGGAAACTTTTCCTGATATCTAGCTTGAATCTGGGTTATCACAACTTGAGCTTATTATTCCACGTCGTACATTCTGGCATGAATAAGAAGAGATCCTGACCTTCCTCTTTGTGACAGCCTTTGAGGTAGTTATACATATAATTTAGTTATTAATTCAACTTATATTCCACTTTAATTAGTCCAAAGGATAGTACATATAGAGTGTTATCATGTCCCCTCCTCAGTCTTCTCTTCTTAAGGCTGAACATATCCATGGCTTAGCTTACTTGCTTGAATCGTCTACAGCAGGGTGGGCAAAAAGCAGATTTTCAGATGTTTGGTCTTCAACTTCTTGACATTTGGCCTCACTGGAAGGTGCTTCTGATACTTGAAGTCTAAAACATCTGGAGATCAACCTTCTGTCCACCTATGATCTACAACAACTTAATCTGTTACTACGATGTACATTTTTGCCTAACTCTTTCCAATTTTGAGCAATAATCTTATACAATATGTTATTATTATGACATCTTTACAAATGAGAAATTGAACTTGAGAGTGAATGGGTTTCTTAGTCCCTCCTGATTAATCCTATGTTGAGGTTAGGCCAATCAAGAGATTGACAAGGGTCCTTACCCTAAGGGATAATGATCTCCCTTACCCTCTATTTTCCCGATACTTCAGGCAGCCAACCTATAGAATGCAATATACTGGGGTGGACATGCAGTGGCTAAGAAACTTGTGGAATGGGGTCTGCTGTCAAACTGACAATATAGTACAGCACTGCACAACTTGAATCCCTACAGATGTGTTGGATTGGCCAAGCTGGTTGTAAATTATGGAAGCTGAAGTTCAGCATATCCGGAAGCCGATGATAGTTGGGAAAGGTTGATGTGGTATAGTGGGTAAAATGTTGGACTCAGACTTGGGAGAGGTAAAAAAAAAAAAAAAAAAACTGGCTGATGCTCATAAAGGTGTTACTCAATGCTGATTTGCTAGTAATTTTAACAGGGGAGTATCAACTCTTATGGTTATTGTGTGCCATACACTGTGGCTTGACATGCTCATCGTACTTGTTGATGGACGTTAATCCATCAGAACAGGTATGTGGATGGTATCCAGTGTCAGGTCCACTTAGAACAAAACCACTGGAATGAATAGAAACAAAGGCAGGCTAACACTGCTCATGTGTGAGAGAGATGGGAATGTGGTTAATATGGATATGGACCATGTATAGAACAATTTGCCGTTAGACAAGAATTTAAGACTTGTCTGTTCCTCTATGATTATTCAGGTTCCCTCTACTATATGATTTATTGTTCATATCAAATTTCATACCAAAATATATGTTTTTCATACAGTATTCATTAAAGTTTAAATAGTCTCTTCCCCGCACCAAAATTGAAATTATACTGGAATGGAAAGTGGGGCATCAAAAACTTTTTATTTTACTTCATAACTGGTTTTGATTATATCTAAATTATACAACATGCATTCATCTTGAAAATGGTTTATTTGTCAGAACTTTTAATTGGTTTCTTTTATAATCCTGTAATAAGCATTGTGATATCAATGTATATGAAGGGTGACATACATAAATGGTTATACAAAAGTATGCAGTAGGGGAAAATAGATTAACCCAGCATATTCTTTGGTATAATGAGATTAACTTCTGACTGCAGAGGAGCTGAACAATACTATTGTTATAAATGTATTTCATAAGAGTGGTACAATTAAATATTGATTTTCAGAGGAAAGTTCTAAATTGCTGGGCACATTAGTTGCTGAAACACTGTAGAACTAGTAAAAAGAATGTAATTCCTTAGGTGTATGTTATAGATTTATGGTTACTACAGTCTGACAGTATCTATGGGATTTTTTGCTGTTGAAATTGTAATCTTTATTACTCAGTAAAGGCAAAGGATTACTATGAAATGGCAGTAATTGGAATGTAAACCAAGTATAACATTTATGTGAACAGATTTAAACATTCATATGCTAATGTTACCGTAGACACTCTTTTTTTTTAAACTGTAAGATATCTCTGCTCTTTAGAAGGCCAGATACTGAAGATGAAACTCAAATACTTTGTAACCTAATGAGAAGGAAGGATGCACTGGAGAAGACCCTAACGCTGGGAACAATTGATGGCAAAAGAAGAAGGGGACGGCAAAGGATGAGGTGGCTGGATGGAGTCACTGAAGCAGTTGGTGTGAGCTTGAGTGGACTCCAGGGTATGGTGGAGGACAGGAAGGCCTGGAAGAATGTTGTCCATGGGGTCGCGATGGGTCAGACACGACTTTGCGGCCAGCAACATCTTTCCAACTGGAAATGTTGAAGATCTAGTATTGAGATGTTCTAAGGCTAGACAGTGAAAAAAACTGACAAGAAGAAAACTGATGCATTCAAAATTAGGTGCTGCAGGAGAACTTTGTAAATACTATGGACTGGGAGAAGATTACTAAGTGGGTCCTAGATAAAATCGAGCCAGAACTTTCTCTAGAAGCAAAAAGGGCAAAACTGAGGCCATCATACTTCAGGCACATTGTGAGAAGGCAAAATTCACTGGTGAAGACAATCATACTAGGGAAAAACGAAAGTAGAAGAAGAAGGGGAAGACCAAGAATGAAATGGATCAAATTCAATCTAGAAAGCCACACACAAGTGTACAAGGCCTGTGCATGGCAGTCAAAGAGGTCATTTTGGACGGCAGACACTCATAGGGTTGCAATGAGTTGGAGCCAACCTAATGGCACTTAGCAACAAATTTTATTTTTAAAACAGCATTTGTTTTTCTCTTGTATTACTGGATTCCTGTGCTGCCTAACCTCAACTTCTAATGCTGAGTGAGTAAAAAAGAATCAAGCACTTTGATGTATATGAAACAATCTTATTGGTGTTTAGACAGAAGTATATCTAAATATGCATAGGCTCTTCTGTCTAATACTATAAATGTCAATAGAAACCCCTGAGAAAGTAAGATTAAGATCCGACACACATTTATCTGGGACTGAACTCAGTGCAACTTACTTCAAAATGAACATATAAAAGAGGCTACAGTAAACTACAACAAGCTACAGTCGGGAACATGTTTTTATAAACAATTTCCATTCCTGGATTTCTTCAATTGCAAAAGAGAGTTTTCTGGCACCTTCAAAGAAAGTTCCCCAACCTGTTGCCCTCCAGATGTGTTGCAGCTCATCATATCCAGAAAGCAACACATTCAGGAAGGATGAGCATTAAAAGCCAAGCTGGTTCAGACCAAAGGTCCATCCAGTTCAGAACTCCAGTCACTTGGTGCGAAACCACCTGCCCGCAGGATCCCTCAAGCAGGATGGATACAAGACTTCCTCCTGCCCAGCTCCTCAGCAATTGGTATAGGCAGGCATGGCACCTCTGGTAAAGGAGGCAGCACATAGCCAGCAATGCTAGTAGCCACTGATAGCATCCTCCCTCCTGAATCTGTTCAATCCCCTCTTAAAGCCATCCAGATTGGTGCCAGCAACTTCCATAGTGCAACTATATAT